AAAGAGCTGTGTGGCAGCCATTGTTCTCTCAGTGGGGTCTGAAAAGCATTTATCAATACAAAAGCTTGCTTTCTCTCTGGCTGGAAAGTCTGAGGGAACTCACAGCTGTACAGCAGTAGGGTGGGATACAGACTTGTTCATTTGCCGACATTACAGTCCCTTTCAGATAAAGTGAGCCAGAGTGGGAATGAGATGGGTATCTAAAATACAGGCATTCAGGCAATGACACTAAATTCAATACAACACACTCCACAGAGATGCTTCATTTGTGAGAAGCAGTAATGCTTATGTCGCTATCACATCTGTCAACTTTAGTTCTCAGGTTTTCTGCTTGGATCCAACCATATTTTTATATTTATGGCTGACCTGAGTGTAAGGATGATGTATGCTCTTGTTCTTTAGACCTGAAGCTCCTAAGTTTATATTAAAACCATCTGGATCTTCATGTGTGGAAGATGTCTCTCTGAACTTGAATGTACCTAAAGCTCCTGAGTAAAGTTGGGCAGGATCATTGTCTTCTTTGATTCATTCCACTTCAGAAGATTATTAATATGTGGTAGAGCAGGTTGTTTCTCAGCCGGAGGGTCGGTGGTTCAATCCCCGGCTTCTCCAGTCTGCATGTCAAGTTGTCTTTGAGCAAGATACTGAAGCCCTGGTTGCTCCTGGTGATGACACCAGTTTGTAAATGTGTGAGTGTTTTTGTGTGCAGATGGGAAATAGCATAAAACGCTTTGAGTGTGTGCATGAATGTGTAAAAAGCACTATATATGACAATTTACCATTCTTTAACACTTCACAAGGAGTGCTTTTATAGGTTTAAATAAATACTGAAAAATATTAATTTAAATGCAGCCTTTGAGATGTTCTTTCCTTTTCCTCTTGTTTAATTCCTTCTTTCTTAAACTGATTTGACAATGTAAGTAATCTATATACGACACTATAAATGAATAAAGGCTTTCACAGGAAAGATTTAACACTCTTCTTCTTGCCTGTGGTAAAGTCATTAGAAACATGCTGTGCAGCCAAATATTATTCCCACCTATAGATCTTTATTTCAGATTTTGGGGAGGACGCAATGTTTCCAAAGATACCACATGTCAGACTGAATTTTTGCGGAAATGTGTATAAAATGATGCATGAGACATCTAGACTGTTTCCAGCCATGTAAACATAAAATCTTGGATTTGAATATTTCACTCAGTGTAAATGTCATGTTGATTCAATAAAGAGCTGGACCCATCTGATACAAAATATATATGATGCTGTCAGACAGGATAACAGAGATTTTTCCAATCCCAAAACTAATTACAGGGAAATCAAAGGGGGAAAGCTGATGTTAATGGATTAAATATTTAAAAGCAGGACTTTTACTTACAGTATATAATGGTTTGTTTCTCCTTATTGCTGTTTTAACTAAAGGATTTTAGTCATTCTGCTGTCGTTCTTCATTACATCAGGAAAGTCTTTGCAGGACCTTAGTGGGGTAAATGTGGGGCTCTACTCACGGGCCAGTAATTGGACCTGTTTCCTTCTTCTCTCCTCTCAGTTTAGCCCCTAGCTACTGCCTGTCTTCAGTGATACACAGAGAGGAGGGACGGCAGCAGGACCACAATACCCACTCAGGGAGAAGCTGTCAGAAATCCTGAAACACTATCCTCTCTCAGACCAAAGCTGTTTCTAGCAGTATTGTATCACCAGGATTCAACTTGCAGTTCATTTGGGGAAAGTTTTTCCTAGAACTTACTTCATCTATTAAAGAGCAGAAGTTAGATGAAGTTTATGCTAGGTGGTGGTTTTTGCTTTAAGGACTTCCAGAGTGGAGAATGCTCTCTGGCCTTAATGCTAGTACTCACACTGCCCTCAAGTGGCTACTACAACTGTTAGTACTATGACACCCTTGTGTACCAAGGCAAATACAGTGAAGTAAAATGTTAGGCTGATGAAAAGAAGTGATAAAAATGAAATGTTCTTGGCCGTTTTGGTTGTAGTAGCTGGTGTGACTCTAACAACTCTTTCCAGTCCTCTTGGCTCAGTCTCAGGGCCAAGATTTTCCATAAGCTGTTTTTCAATTAGGACCCGGCACTCTTGGCATCTCATGAAGGGAACAGAAGTGGAATCCCTCAGCAGCAGTCCTCAGGGCTAGGGATCTTGGGAGAATGACACAGGCTTGCAAATTGTCACTGTTAAAGGTCCTAATTGCCTGAAACCTTTAAGCTTCAAAGCAGGACCTTCTTATGTGGCAGAAGTGGCACTGCGCACTCCTCTTAGATGGAAAGGTTGATTGCATTTGTGGCATTTAAGAGTAGAGAGAGGTAGAGGGTTGCTTTTTGTGTGGTCCGCTGCTGCTTCTCTCCCCCATTCTTTTTTTGTTTGCCCTCTGCTGTGTTTCAAAGACCTGTCGCCTCACAGCTTGTCAAAATGCTCCCTTTAAACAGAAAGCAAAAACAGAAACTAAAGATTGAAACTCCATTTCGTAAACCTATGGTCTCAGTTTGGAATAACAAGGCTGTTACATGTGCTTGTGCATTCACACTGATTGAAAACATTTTGCTTTTAGTTAGTGCCCAGCCATATGATTGTATATTGCATGGTTTATTTGTTAAAACAGTGCTATCAATCAGATTGATTCTTTTGTGGTTTCCATCTCAAAATCGCAGTTAGACCTTTGTTTCAGATCTTATGCCTGCCTAGTTCTGTTTGGCCAAACCCCCTTTTTTATTTTTTACCCCTGCCCCTCATTTTTGAGTTAGCCCTCCAAACTGAGTTACAATGAGTAGTGGTTGAACTCTTCCCCTAAGAAATGGCACAACCCCTCAAGACCTCAGTGTGTCATCGGTAGTTACTGACAATGGTAAACAGATGCAACAAATTGTCAAAAATTTTGAATCGCATAACGTTGTCTTCAGCTGTGGTGTTTTCCCTTGTGTGGGCTTTAAGCATCGGGTTGCAATTTTCAACACCTAATAAGTAAAATGCAAGGATAGGAATATGTGTTGACACCAGGGAATGTCGGTAGATTTGTTTGATGCGTGTAGCATCGACTGCAGATAACTTTTGTTGTAGTTAGCCTCATACCACTTGGTTTTGAGTCTGCCTCTGAAAACCCTCTATTTGAATGCTATGTAGCCTGCCCACTTCGCCTTACCCCTTCATCCTGTTAGGGATTTTTAGTCAGATAGAAATTAGATAGATACTTTATGTATTAGAAATGTTTAGTGGAGATAGGATGTCTAGTTAGACTGTTAAATGCTTAGGCATGCTTATGAGTTTCTACAGGGTACATCTGGTCAAGGATAACTAGAGAGAAGAGTTGATGACTGTCAGCAGACAGGGTGTTTAATATTATTATTATGACGTGTATAACTGTAGCCTTAGCCATAATATGTTCTCATGTTTAAGTCACGACATGTACTAGAGGTCGTGAGAATGTTTTTAGCTACACACCACTTAATCAACAGACACACACACACATTGATTTGCTTCATGTTTTGACTACTGTTATGGCCAGCTGCAAAGCTGGCAACAGAGACGTCTCGGTTGACGTTTCTGTGTAGTATGGGGCTAGCCCAACCGAGGGGATATAATGTATAGGCCTGGTGGGTTCAGGGTCTTTCATCTTTCATCTGCCTGCGAGCAGTTTGGAGGTGCAAGATGCCTGAGCGTGTAATGTTAATTTTTTGCCTGTGTTCATGGAATAAATCAGCACTGTTTTGTAGTTACTTGGACTGCCTCGTCTCTCAGAGTTAGCATGGTAAAAAGTACCGGGTACAACAATCCTGAAGAGAACTGGAGCGGCCCTACCACTACACATGACTGTGCAAAACGGAGGGGTAGGGCTAAGTGGTAGGGGCACGCGGGTGAATTGGGATTGGGCCTTTGTCTCAGTGCTGCCACAGCCTGAGCGTTTGCTAGCTGGTTTATCCATCTCTTTACTCTGCGGGACAAGACACTGGGATAGAGAAACCCTCTCAGTCAATGCTGCAGGAGCTCTGAAGATGATAAAGATCTGCAGACATGCAAATCCTTCCAGGATCACATTCCTCCTCCCTGTTTTTGTGATGGTGCATGCATATGCTTACGCAAGTGTCTGCCAGTGTGACCCAATGCATGTATTCCATCTCAGGGGTGTTTGCATGCCTATAACAGTGAGCCAGTAAGCTGCTCATTAGCAAGCTGCTTCATTCATTCTTGATGGTCCTCAGTGGAAAGAGGAGACATGAGCCTAGAAAGACACCAGTGCTTTCTGGCCAAGACCATCCATGAACTGTGGCTCTTCCCGGAGTGACGATCAGTCACTTTCCAAGATCCTCATATTCAAATCATACAGATTTCAGCCTGAAAGCACTTAGATAAATGTCTCTGAAGCCTCGGAGAATGTTGCTTTTAAATTATTTTACCCTTATGTTGTGCTTTCTTTCTCGACCACATTTGGAGCCTGAGTGGCAGTTGTGACTACTTGAAGTTGTGCCACGAGTCAATAAAGAGCTCAAGTTGGATTTGTGTTCCACTGTGCAAGCAACTACTTGATTTAATAATGTTGCTTTATGAAACATGATTCATATTTCAAAGGCCACGTATCTGAAGTGGAAATAATTCACCACTTGGGCTTAGACAGGCTTAAAACTTTGATCCTGCCTGGTGAGCTCGACTTGCTTGGCTTTTCTTTTTATTATTTTCTTGTCTGCAAAACCAAAGTGTTTTTCCTGCTTACAGGCCTGTATAACAGTCACTGGCTGTAGTTTGATGGCTGTAAGTGACACCCAGAGTTCTCATGACTTTCCCATGGTACTTGTCAATTCTCCTGGGAGGTAATCAACCGATGATCTTGCTCATCACATTTATCATCCCTTTTGGTTGCTCCCAACACATGTAACATCTCAGACTTTTCATGTGAAGATGTAATTGCTTTTAGATAACAATCAGAGGAATGCTTTGATCTGATAAACAATGAGAAGATGCAATCAGATTTACTACAACAAAAGGACATTTCTCACTTTCAGCTCCTGACTGATCACGCTGATGGACCTATGCATCTTCCTGAGATTATATTGACAGCGCTGTGCTATGAGCTGCATTCTGTTACAGATGTACTGGCCCATCTCCTCATCGCCTCATATCAGGGACGAAGCCACAGAATGATGACTTGAGTGCATGATGAAGAACAACAGGAAAGCCTCTAGGTTTTTTATTTCAGTCAATTTCCTTTGATTCTTCTCAAATCTGGCCAATTGTAAATATAAAACCATGTTAAGAAAAGACTGGAGATGCTGATGCTGAATGCCTCTGAGCCCATTTAGATTTTTTGTTTTCATCCCTCCGTGTTGTTTTAATCAGCAAGAGGCTGGAATTGCTGATCTGTATTCCAGGGCCTCAGCTCCCCCTTTAGTTGGTGGAAAATCCATGTCATCAGACTCCCCTCCGCTGGTTCTGATTAAGGAGCAGCGCTCCAGGAGTTCTGGATAGCAGGTCTCTCGCTCCTATTAACCACGGTCAGGGTCGCTTCCACATTTTGTCACATTCCCATCCCTGCAACCGGGCCGTTAAAAGGTGGCCGATGGAGTTAAAGGGCCGAGTTAAAGCAACCTTATTTCTCTCCTGTTGAGCCTACACTGAGATCCACGTGTTAAACTGCTGAGAAGCAAAATGCAGTTGAAAGCCAGATCTTTAGATTTACTAAATTAGATGTTGCAGACCACAAATCATAGGTATTTGGCATTTCAGTGGTATTTAGCCTCTATGAATGTTAGACCATTAAAAGCTTTGTGAAAAGCCTTCTTAACCCTTTTTATTTTGTTCCCCTCTAAGAGAACCTGCTTTGTGACTGGTGGCTGATGAAATTGGTTGTAGATGTAAAGGGAGAGTGTCAGATTTGTTGGTGTTCTGGTGAAATACATGTGGAAGAGGGCTGATTTTTTACCATGCTCTGTCTTTGAGCATGAGCTCATTTACGTAGAGATTAAGTGCATAATAAAAGTAATTTTAAAACCAGTCAGTGTGAGCCAGAGACATTCATAATCGTAGTTAATTAGCTGATAAAATCTCCAGTTGACAGTTTTATTTTTATTACACCTTTATTTTATTTCATCATTTTAGGTGGCAAAATTGATTGTCAGCTAGAAATGGGAGTCTGTTTTTATCTACATATTCCTGAACTCAAGGAACCAGCTGTGAATGTAAAACAGTTTGTGTTATTGCCTAAACCAAAATCTATCCCAGGCCTTTCTGTTTTCCCTTCGCATGGCAATTCATCCTTTCGTGTGTTCTCAGTAGTGTATACTGTATATTTAAAAGTTTCACGAAATAAAAATCTTTTTTATATTTTCCCCTCATGCATTCTGCTACATCAAAAGCTTTGTCAAATGTTTTATTAAAGTCCACAGTCCATTTATGAAAAAGTCCAGGTGGAGCACAAAGCATCAATCTGAGTGCGCGACAAGCTGATGGTTGTGATAAAAGAAAGCTCCTTGAACTTGCAGTGCCTTTGAAAGATGGAAAACAGGTCATTCTTAGGCCTCGTCAGGAAACTAAATCAAAGTAAGGAGTTGCTGTAGCCTAAGGATTGGAGTCAGGGGAGGAAGACCATTAAAAGTGCATTGTGCAGGCGGTCTGCAGAGAAACAAAGAAGAAGAAAGAGATACAGAGGAGAGGGATCACAAAAGCAAAACAACCACAACAGACTGAATGAATGAGAGAACATTTGGTCTCCTTTTAACTTAATGTATGGTTTAGTGTCAATCTGTCCGATATCATGCTCCATAAATCTCAAAGCTTCAGAAACTTCAGAGGCCTCAGCAATAAGACAGATTTGTGGAAAAAAAGATGCCTAAATTTGATGTGGGAGAATCGCTCCCGTCTGTGAACTGAAGACGTAAAATAACATGGAATCCATGAAAATTCTGCACTAGAATTTGTGATTCTTGCAATTCATTAAATGCAGTGGATGCAGCTAACTCCAGCGCTGACTCGCTGCAGGTGTCACGAGATGAGAACATATGAGGAGCAGGGTATCTGTCTCTTGTCAGGAACATCTCTGTGTTTCCTGCTGGTTTGGACTGGCTGCTAACGCTAACTGGGTGAGTCAGAGTCTTGACTAGTAAGGGAGAAGATAAACGCAAACAAATGTGAGTCTCCGTGGTCCTGTCTCAGTTTGTTGCTCCTGAGCTGACGTAATGAGCGAGGTGGTGTGTTATCGTGTCTGTCTGTAGTTTTAAGGTCTTCAACAAATGACCTCCCTGCCTCTCCTCCTCCTCTTCCTCTTCCTCTCTCTCAGGACGCTGAGCACTGGGAGAGGTCAGTGTTGAGGGTCACTGAGATCACGTCAGCGCTGATCCGAGAGAGGAGCCCCGCCCTGGTGGGACAACTTCTGCAGGCATGAAGGGAAACCGCACCGGCAAAAAATCCCCACAATGTGGCTCATGGCTGCTGGGATGGGACGGTTTTGTTTTTGTTTTTCTAAATCCCTCTTTGTGAATTACAGCAAAGCTAGAGGGACACTTTCTCAATTAGTACTGCACTCCATGAATCTGCACACTTTTAAGAGACAGACTTGTTTGTCACCCAGCTGAACTCAAGAGACACTGCTTTCACTGCATTCACATACATGAACATACTCACTGCAGACAGGCTTGGACATCAGAGAGCCTTTAAGTGTGTTGATTCCAATTGTTGCCACACAGGCCTTGTCTGGTTGTGTACACCTCACACACAGAGTGTCTCCAGTTTCCTGCACTTCTCCGTCCTCTGCAGCTCGGTGGAATTCCAGCTGTTGATGGAGAGATGCCCGAGGCCAGAGAAGCTCCGTCTTCACATGAAGATTCCCGAACTCATCGCTGCGCACACTTATATTTCAAGGAATTCACTGGAGATTGTAACTCACAGTGACTTGTGATGCAAGTAACTAATATTTTAAAGTGTGCAATTTGCAAGCATCTGCATTTCTGTGTTTCATTCAGGTTTTGCTGTTAATTTGTGGCCTGTCTACTCTGTCTTTCCTGCAACTCTGGGTGAGCTATGTTAAAGGATGAAGCTGGCATTATTCTTTATGTTCCTGCTTGTCGCCAAATCCCATCATAACCAGCAATGTGAGAGTAAAGTGCCTGTACCTACCTATCCTGTCTGGATGCAGTCTTTAACAAATTTGTTTTTACTGAAGATATAAATCTTCAAAAACGAGTCACAAAGATGTAGTTTCATTTATTAAGAACAGGAGGAAATAGAGAGTCTGTTGTATTTTCCAGAAATACTGTGGTGAGTATTTGGGACAAAATATACTGCTCAAAAAAATAAAGGGAACACAACATAAGACATCCTAGATCTGAATGAATGAAATATTCTTATTAAATACCTTGTTCATTACATAGTTGAATGTCTTATTTTCCCTTGTGTTCCCTTTATTTTTTTGAGCAGTGTACATTAGTCAGTCTACGGTGTGTGTGTTCATGCTATAAAGGAACACATCACCCAGCGTAGCAGTGTGTGTGTTCTTAATGGTTATTGGACTACAAAGGAGCTCTGTGCCACAAAATGGCATGTTATATCTGTTTGTTTGTTTGTTTTGTTGATCAGTTCACTGTTGGTTGTGGTCTTTTAGTGGAATTTGATGAGAAGAGGAAAAATCCAGAATACCAGCAGAAAAATCCAGAATACCAACAGATGTATTCAATATTGTCCTTGAATTTGTCTGCACTTACAGTAAAAAGTGTAGGATGATGTTGATCGCAGCGGCTCAGAGTTACTGCAGACACTGCTGCATCTTCACTGAAACCTGTTGTATTCTGTGTAATCCTGTTTCGGTCCTAAACCAAGTCCATCTGACTCTAGCTTGGGTGAAACAATATGTACCTGCATTAAATGACAGCAGTGACCTGTATGATAACTTTGAATTTCTGCCCTCTGGGAGGTATTTTATGATGTCGCTAGAAACAGCAAAATGTTTAAACCCGACGCACCTGGATTTTTAAACAAAATGCAGTTATGTTCTGGTTCTCACTTTTTCCGCTGCTCATACATTTTTACTTGGCTAGAAAGCATCCAGATTAGTGGTACTTGTTTGGTTGTGCAAGCAGGTACATCTCATGTTGTAGATGATATTACTAGTGTCTGAAAGTAGTAGTTGTTGTCTTGATGTCACAGTGTTCTTGAATATTTACTATAGCAAATAAAGTTTCTGTATATTACTTTCTCTTCTCCCTCCACTGACTCACATTAATCTTGACAAAGGTGATACTGTGTGCTAATATTGTCTGTGGGTAAAGGTGACAGGAGAGCACCTGGGGAAACTTTTTCTCTGAAGACAGGAAGGTCTTATAGCAAGAAGAAGCTGCTGTAGGAAGGTCACGTGATTTAGCTTGAATGGAGAGGACATAAACCCGTCAAAACGACTTTTTATAATGGTGTGGAAAGACAAGAGTAACAGAATTTAAGTTAAAGTCAGGATGGAAGGACATTATAAGCACTGACATCCCTGGATGATGTGCAGACGTCTGCACACTGCACTTCATTGAGTATAGCGACACCTGGTGGACAGCATGGCTGAGAGGACTCCCACAGCTTAGTGGTGTAGACATGCTTCCACCAGTAGGAGGCCACATAGGACACAAAAACGTTGAGTCTACCTGCTATTTTGACTAATTTTGATTATTGTTTTGATAAGACTTCAGACTTGCATAAAAAAAAGCTTTTTGTGGTGCTGCACCTGCATTTTTATTCTTTGTTGGTCTGAAACATGCTGCAGCACAACAACAACAATGATTATTGTTTCTGAAAGGACAGAAGCCTATTTGACTTCACTTGTTGATCAGTGTTGTAAAACGTGAATCATTGACTGTCCTTTAAATATTTTTATGCAGGAGAGAGGCTGGACAGAGTATTTTATTTTTAATCATCTGTGAGAGTATCTTTATTTGGAGTTTAAATCACATGGTGAAATAATAATAATGTAAAATAGTTTAAACAGCAGTTCACAGAAACAACTAAGTAAAGAATAAGTCAGTAATTAAACAGAGAGTGGGAACATGCTGTCAAGAGGATTTCACTCTTTGCTTCTCTGACCAGGTTAGTTTGTGTTGTCTTTGTGATAAATACTTTCCACACTAACCTTTTGAAGATGTTTTCCCAAGTGGCAAGAAACATATTGTATTTAAGTGTAGATAGGGATAGGAGGTTTTTTCAAAAACTGCAAAGTGTCTGGATGGAGGCCCGTGTTGCTGCTGTGGTTCCCATCTCTCTCTCTCTCTCTTTCTTTCTTTGCCCTTATTTTCTTTCCTCTCTCTGTTGTCACAACAGACATAATTCATTCATCTGTGTTTGTCATCCCTCATAGACAAAGTTGGTTGTGATATTTTCGAGTAGTTTTAAAACTGAGGGGAAAAATCCACCTTTTTTAAAATTAGCTAAGCCTTTGATTGACCTTTAATGCTGTGGTTGTAGGTGCTGCCAGATGGTTCAGTCCTGGTTGTCGTAGCTGCTGTAATGCGTCCTGAATGCTAACCAGAGCCACAGGTCTTGGCTGATACTTCAGACCAGGTCCTGTTTGGATACTGCCACCACTGGTGCCGCAGAGAGGAAGACTAAACCCAGATCCCACAGTCTGGCTGTGTAGGTCTGCCAGGCTCCGACAGCAAGTCGTCACCTGGACCAGCCAACCACAGCTCAGATTACGGCCTTGGTATTACAAGAGAGCCTGGACCTGTGCACACAACTAGGTGTGTGTTTGTGTGCCAGCTATACTAGTGTATTCACTGTAGGTTTTTTGTTTGAGTCTGTAAGTGTTTGAAGTGAATGTGACAACCTTAAATTTAGATTCCAGTGTCACAATAAAAGCGGCACATCCATGCTGGCAACGCCTAACGGTGCAGAGACCCCACTAGTCTCCTCTTCCTGGAGACTAGAAAACAATCACAGCAAGAGGGTCAAGAGAGTACACCAAGAACACGGGGACTCTGGACGGGTCAGGAATCTCCATGAAGTGGTTGCCAAGTACAATAAAGCGGCCGTGGATACAGGAGGGAAGGTGTTCAGGAATGTGACCTAACGAAGTCGCTGCAAACCCACAGCGCCTGGCATCCTGGAAAATGAAAACTCACTCTGATTTGTGGGACTTCAGCGTGATTTCGCCTGTTTGTGTTGCTGCAGCTAAAACTAACACAAATGCATTACATGGGTTCCCACTAATTCTAACCATGTAACTGTAGTGTAAACATTTGCAGAGCATCCAGCTAAAGTCACCACACTTCAGAAAGAAAGATCAGTGGACTACAATGCCATCTGGTGGAGATTACTTTTAAATTTCATTGTGGATTTAAAACAAATACTCAGCAGTCTAACCACCAGATG